AAGCCATTGAATAACGTTTGGATAAATGTTAAATTTGCTGAGTTTTAAAAGAAGCAGTTGATGAGAAACCTTGTCGAGTGCTTTTGAGAAGTCTAGACATATGCAGTCGACAATGAAACCCCTGTCAAGAATGGAATTTAGGTCATGTGTGAAGGTCAAAAGTTGTGTTTCACATGAAAACGACTTGCGCAATCCATGCTGGGGATCTGTAAAAAAGGAGTTTGACTGTAGAAAAGATGCGAGATGAGATCAAATAACATGTTCCATAACTTTACGTGAAATGCATGTGAGTGAGATTGGTCGATAATTATATGGAGAATGCCTATCTCCAGACTTGTGCAAGGGAATCACATTCCCTACCTTCCAGTCTTCCGGAATGCAACAGGTATGAAGCGATTGCTGAAATATATTACTGAGAATAATGGCACTGTACGCTTTAGTACTGATTAAAAACTTTGAATTGATGCCATCGTTATTAAACGGTGTTGAATAAGTGGCGTGACGCTTCACACAGACGGCATGGCACCTCCAAGACCTTGTCCGCCAGGCTGGTGAAACCGTTTAGGTCCAACGTGGACACAGTGACTAGTACCATTTGTACATTGCCAAAAAAGCGCTGCAGAAACCGTTCTCGCAACAAGTTTTCGTCAGTAGTGGTGGTGTAGCCGCTCATGAGTTGACGCGTATGACGAAGAAGCTGGCTAGGCTGGTGGTCGCCTTTTTCCCCGCAGAAAGTAACTGCTGTATGCGCGAACGCTGTGATGCCGTCGTTCACTCCGGAAGTGGCAAGAATGAAAGAGACGAAAAATAAACTGAGAGGAGAGCAGCACGTAGGTTGGAATGGTGCTCTGTAGGTTTTTATGACCGTGGGGTGTCAGGCGGCGGCCGCGCCGCCACACGTTCTTTTTTTTGTTCAAATTTGTTGCGCCTTCCCTAGCCCCTACCCCATTTCGTTATTTTCAACATCTTTCGAGAGAAAGGGAACTTTTGATTAATTCATTGCTGCCTCTTAAAGCATGTGCAACATATGTCCCTGCCGCTTCACCTTGTTATCAATCACCTTAACATAAAAAACGCTCTGACCTTTTCGTCTTGTCCGTTATGCACTCGTGTCATTCGGACGGTTGTCGTTTAAATATCACCGCCCCTGTAAGGTCAATCTGAAATGAAGCCTGCTGATCCGGCTTATAAATCATGCGCACGCTTCTATCTCCGTGCTTTTCATCTCGCTCGAGTGTTGCGAGTGTACGGCAAACTTAGGTTCTTCAGTAGACAGTTTGCCGCTACTCTTTAGAGTCTTCTCAATGAAGCGCCCAGATGCATGCACAGCGTTTCTTGCTGTGACCTGAAACCCATGCCTTGCTCTCTCGCTTCTTCATAGCAATATGCTTGCTGCAACTTTTGCGCGGCTGCGCCAGGTGGCGCTTCCAGTGCAGCGACTTTTTTACAGCCCTCTACTTCACTTTCTCAAGCATAAGCAGCGTTTTCACCTTTGTTCTTAGGCAAAAATCACTTTGTCACAGCATCATCCAGTTCTTTGAAGCTGAGCGGAAGAATGTCTTGACATGCAAGATTTTCTACCAACGGCCAAGATACTACGCGAAACACAGAATTTTCGCTTCGCCAACAAGAAAATCAAAGAGGCTACTGTTGTTGGTGGACAAGCTATCGCCGAGCTCTTCCTTGAGTCGGGATTTTGCTTTTCTTCGACCTTTTCTGCATGACCATTTTCCAAGTGGGTAGTGATGACCATGTCATACTGTCGTAGCGGTAATGGTGGTTCCCGAAATTAGTTCAGCTGATTATTCATTCGACGTGGTGCAAGCTTTTTGTTGTTGCTCGCTGTAGAGAGATCAGGCCCCTGAAGCAATAAGGCAGCTTACCTGCTCAGGTAGCGTTCAAATGTTTTGAGGTCGGGATGATTTTCTTCTTTTCTTCGCCTCATGCTCTCAATATCAATATTCCTGAGGCACCACATAGCCGATTCGTCACCCTGAACTTCAGTCGGCATAAGAAGGGCACAAGTTGCGACACCTTCCTGGTGCAAGCTTCTTCCCTTCGCATTCTACCCGGAATATTTTTCAATCACAGGGACTTCCTGGTTGAAGCGATGAATCTTTCCTGTTTGGACTTTGAGGTAAGTGTCTGAGCTAGGGAGCCAGCATGACCACGTGCGGTCATGTATGCTCCCTAGTCTGAACCATTCAAGAAACTGATGCCGCAAGTCTCTGGGTGGACCGGTTCCACGCATCATGTTCTTGGCAAACAACAGCTTGAGATTGAGAAGATCCTGTGGTGGACTAGCAAGGAGCTTACCTCGACGTGTATTGCTTTGAACGTAACTGTGCTGCCATCGAATCGACACCGCAGTGTGACAGAAACGCTCTGGCAGCTCCTTTAATGCCGTGGTTCAGCATTCCCGAGCGTAACCACTGACAGCCCTCTATGTCTAGGGCTCTGCTCTTCTTGCAACATTGGTGCTGATGAATGAACGCTGGCTGACACTGTATAGCATCACACGAACCTTAAATAGTCGTGGTCCGCTCTCCGCCGAGATGTGACTAGTCTGGAACAGTAGAGACGTTGCTCCTGTGCCACCAGTCGCGGCCATCATCAGTACTAGTGAAGAAGCACCAGCTGTACCAAAGTGGGCGTTTGATCGTGGAGAAGCAGTCTTTTCGAAGGAACGTGACAATTCGCAGAGAAAATTTAGGTGTCAACATCGGCACTTGTTCCACATGCGGTTGCATGAAATTCAGCTGAGTTTGAGCGACGTGATTGCGCCTTCCACATCTCAAGAAGCAGCTGGCGCAGCGCAACCTGGATTTTTTGTCTACCACCTAAATGTCGGCCGTACTTTCCGCGAGGCTGTGAATTCTGCTGCTACACAGCATGCAAGACGGAGTCCGCTGCTTTGGTGATTTTGTCACTGCTAGATCAGCTGCTAATAGAATGTCTTGTGCAGCTATCGTCAATGAGTACGTGTCATCAGGTACGATGGTCGAGTGACGGAAATGTGACGGCAGTGCTTACTGCATTCCTTTCTCACGCACCTCTATCTGGATTTTCAGAAGGGACAAGATGTCGGTCACCTTATCCTGGCTTGCGTCCGGTTACGCGTGCTCAGCTGATGCGTCATCTTTCTGGGTGCCATCTTCTTTTTTATCGTGTTAGTACAATATAGTTAAGTGTTTTGGCAAGCACCTTAATAAGACGCGTTAAGCACCGCAGTGTAGTTGTAAGGTGGTGCACAAAGGTCTTCGAGTGCCCTTCCGCGGAAACGTACAATGTCATGCAGCTTCCAACGCTCCTTGTCTGCCTTGTGACTCCGTACCAGTGACAGTCCAAGAAGTTGGATGATATGTTCGTTCACCAGAAGTACGTGTCGACAGAAGTGCGCTTGCAATGTTTTGACGGCGAAATCGTAGTTTAGGTCAGCCAGCTTTCGATTGCTCGCTTGGCTGCTCCCATCAAGTATTTCACTACACAATCAATTTTCTCGATCGATTGTAATCCGTGATTGTTTTGAATTGTGGCGCGCTATTGATACCGAAATTCTAGCCACTGACGTAAATTGCCAGCATACGTCGGGTATTGAAGCGTAAAAAGCACGACAGACCGGAAACGCGGTGCACTTACTGGTTCTTGCACGACATGAGCACATAAGGTGTTGCAGTCGGTGGCGGTTACCCGGTCGCCGTTGTATGCACTCATAGGTGGGTCACTGAAGCGGGTTGACTGTTCTCGTTCCGCCTTCCACAACTGTGCGTCAGCAATCGCGTACAGAATTTAGTCGTTGTAGTCGGTTACTCTCTCGACTTCTTCTTAGATAGCTTCGTCTTCAGTGAGCTTAAGAACGTCTATATCTCGCTGATGAAGCTGACTTTCCTCTCGTATTCAAAACGGTGATATCTCTTTTCACCTGACGTGCCTCGGTGGTAGGATACTGGAATAGTCCTTTCAGTAGCGTAGTATTTCGTGTGACGCTAGCCCTGACAGTCTCACAAACTCTCCGAAGGGGTTCGGAGGATGACATCGTAGTCTCAGAACGACCACTCTTGTGTTTCACGGCACTAAATGTTAAGAACAAGGACACATGAACGTCAGTAAAGCACACAATCTTTACTCAATCACGGCTAGCTTCACCTTCCCTACTTCGTTCTTTTCTCCAAGTCTCTTGCTCCTCTCCCGAGGCGATGCTCCAATTCCTTATTTTCAACGCGTGACATGACAATAACAAGCATTGTGGTGGAGGGCATGGAGTTTTCATCCATCTATCTAAAGTTATTTAACGGGCACTGACATCGCAGAGTACACGAATCATTTCATCTCCATCAAAATGATTGATTGATTGATTTGTGGAACTTAACATCCAAAACCACCATAGGATTATGAGAGACGCAGTAGTGGAGGGCTCCGGAAATTTTGACCACCTGGGGTTCTTTAACGTGAACCGAAATCTGAGTACATGGGCCAACAACATTTCCGCATCCACCGGAAATGTAGCCGCCACAGCCGAGATTTGATCCCATGATTTGCGGGTCAGCAGCCGAGTACCTTAGCCAGTAGGCCACCGTGGCGGGGCCGCCATCAAAATGCGACCGCCGATTACCATAGGCACTATTCTACCAAAGCGAGTGAAGATGAGTTTGTAGAATTTATTTATGAAATTGGCACTTGAAACGAAATGTGTGCGCTCTCAACAAAAGTCAATTTTTCTATACGCACTCAATGTGTGAAGAGATATGGTTGACAAGCGATGATATTTGATGAAGCAGCTCAAGAACAACACTCTAATGCACACATAAAAAACACGAGCCCAAGTGTTGTCTCTAATCTCATCTTTTAACGTGTGCCGGTAAAATTCTTTATGACCACCTAATAATCTTTTCAATTGTACGTTTGATTTTGATAATTAGTGAAGTGGCGTAATACTCTACATTTATTCGTACCACGAGCAATCATATTCCACTCATTCATCGTTTCTTTTTTCCTTCTAGGCTCAACGTAAACCTGATGAATGTCGTCATTCTAAATGATTTTGAGAACATCAAGAAATTCTGCAATACAAAAGAACTGCTCTGGCGATCTCATAGCTTTTCTGGTTATCGCGACAACTACAGAGGTAACTGTATTATCACTGTAAAAGAACTTAGGTAGACAATTTGCCGGACCACTTGAAGGAATAGGAAAAGAAACCAGCTCATAGACGCACATACAATAACACAAGACGAGCGACATACGCTGAGTGTCTGATTTAAGTAACTCTGTCCTACAGCGTCATGCAAAGAAGCATACCCTACACGTCATAATTGAAACTACAGTGACAATTGCAAGCAACTGACTTTCTTTTGAATATTGCGTAAAAATTGCCTGTTGCTGAAAAAGCACATCGCAGAAGAGTCCGTTGTCAGGCTCTTCGGTCAATATTAGAAAAAGGAAAAAAAACAATAGCTTAGATATGGGCATGTATGGAGCTGTTCTGGTTTTTTGAAATTACGTACCTAAACTAGTGAATCAGCGTTAATAACCCAACGGTTTATGCACTGCTACTTAACTTTCAAAATATATGTTACGTGGTGAAAAAATTTTATTACATCAGCACTTTTTTCTTTGAAAAAAAACTTTATATTTTAGACATGCCTATGGTTCGCGGCCAGCGTATACAATGTTTTATCGGATCAAAATCTCTTGCATTCGGTGATAGTTTTTGAGAACCAATTATTTAGTGTAATCCTCAGAATGCAACAAGCGCACTACGTGCTTTGCATTCGCGAAAACGCTCCCAATATGAAATAAGTCATAGTTGCAGAGTGCTTTTTAGAATAAGACATGACAGAATTACACCGTTGACCCTTTGCGCAATATCGCAAATGACGAAGGTTTGTACTTTTGCGTGGTCCTTGTTCAAAATTGTTAGTAGATATTGACAACTATACGAAACGGTTCGAAGGCAAAAAAAAAACAGAAATTCACGTGCTTCTTCTTCGCTCGAGATTAAGACTCTACGAAGGCGCTTGTCAAGAGTCAGGTGCTCGGGTAGTCATTAAAAAGACCTAGGACTATTAAAGACTGGTCGAAACTGGCGAAGCTTCTGGGTAGCGCTCAGGGATGCTGCATATCTCTCCATGAAGCTGCGCTAAAAGCCCAATGCCAATCAACACTCCCATGCATCAGGCCAGCGAACAAATCAGGGGGATTTATTCATAATTCCACGACATGCTCCCCACCACTTCATCAAATGGGCCAACCGCTCCTAGACAATTCGCTCGAGTCGGCACAGAAAGTGCGATGTCAATCGTTGTACACTCGTGAGTCCACAGGCCTCGACGACATTTCGTGGCACTGAGCTCGAATACGTCCAAAATTGGTTGGTCGACTTCGAGTTGTAGATGGCCTAAACCAATTGCACGACGCCAGAATTCTACTATTAAGGGTACAATTCTAGTCAAGCTGAGAACACAAATTTTGTCCATGCACGTTACCTTTCATCATTACTAAAGCTGTAGTGAATAAAAAAATAATCTTTGGTTGAAAATTTATTGAAAAGCAGAGTATCCCTTAATGACGCAAATCAACTTGCCATTGTTCTGTTCTGCCGTGGACTATCAGGCACCCTCTCAGCAGAACTCGATAGGCTACTGTAGTTGTTTATACTGATTGACAGTGGTATTACACTGAAGCGCACAACATGACAGGTAACAAGAGAGAATACACAAACTAATTACTCTGTGTCTTCTCCATCTGTCCCTGCTCTTTTGTCTTGTTGCATGTAATGATTCCCACCAAATTATCAGGAAAGCGTATCCCGATCAAGACAGACAACTTGGTCACAAGCATGTCTAGATTTTCTTGAAAACACCGTGATGCCTGACCGGTGGTCGAATATCCAACATGTGAAAATAATATACCAGACATGATATTGCTATTTCGGTACGGGGCACTTTTGCGATAACGGAGCATGGAGGGGGAAAATATAAACCCGGAACTGTTTAATTTATGAAGACGCACGTCATAGCGCTTTTGGGTCAAAAGGGAAGTGAATGATTGGAGCGTGAAAGCCACCTTCTCAAGAAATGAGCACCCGCCACCACGCATATTCTCAGGCCGGACAACATCTTTAAAAAGATGGGCTCCGTGACACTGCGTCTCGAACCTAGTACCTCCTAGACTGTAGTTGAACGCTGTAAGCCATCGTCCACTGCTTCAGTGCTTGAGCTGAGAGTTTGCCCCTGCAGCATTTACTCCATTGCTGATATAAAGTCAATGCTTCGAATGACGTCAAATGTAAAATGTTCGGTGAAACTTGGTGAAAAACAGAAATTGAAACTGGAATTTCTTCGCCCAAGGTTGCTAGAAGGTAGAATTCACCAAGTGTGGATGTATAACCGTGCATTTACGTTGTACATTACTGTCATACTGTTGGGATAGCCGGCTCTAACGTAGGCTTTCTTCCCATATTTTGGCAAATATAAATAAAAAATAAAAATATGCTGTCGTATGACAACACTAATCAAGAATTCTGGATTCGCAGTCACTGTTGTCACTTTCACTAAATGAATACACAGTTTGCTTCCAATATCGCCTTTTTTAGGGAGATTTCACTCATTAACACACAACTCTAAGACTTCGCATTGATTCTCACACCGAAAGACAGTCACACTTCACGTCTCATTTTCTGTGTTGCTGTCGCTCCCTTAAAAAACATACTTCACTTTTCAATGCTTCCTAAGCATCTAGCGCTGATTTGCAGAAACTTTCCCTGATTTTTCGTCCTTTTTGCACGTGCGGTAACGTATCTAACTCTATGACTCGTATACACGCCTCTTGCTTTGTTTGCTGACTCAAACACCGCTGGACAAAATAACTGTAGCGTGTTTTGTGTAAAGCATTAGCACTGAAACGCCTCTCAACGAGTCTTCCTCGTTTTACGTGGACACATATTGGAGCGTAAGCCTATGTACGTTCTCGCATTGGGGCTTTATAAAAATGCTGCAGTGCATGAAACCAGCGAAATTCGGCTCAAAATATTATTTGACTACTGCTGTTCTAGATTTTTGCACAATTTGTCCGCAGGCGCAAAAGTCACTCCTGTGTATTGTAATAAGAATATTGTAGGAAAGGCAGCCTTTTACGTTTTGTTACAAAACATCCTTACGCTCATCACTACACTGTGTTCGATTACACCGCATTAGTTGAGTAGCAGTGGGGGTTCATTGTAATGCAAGGTAACCGTCTCGTTAAACAGGGGAAGACATTTGGGGCACATTTTCAAACATTGCGTGCAACGATGCTTGCGTGGTTTGATTGACGTGGTGCATCTTCACGATGTACTTGGCAAGATATTGCATGCATTATTGCTTAAGGCCATCCAGCAATTTCTTTTTTAGGTACGGTCATTGATGAAACGCGAGTGCTTGACATTGCGCAGCACACCCAGACGTTTATTACAACGCGGCATCGCGTAAGCGCTGTAGAAGACGCCCGCGGAACTAAAACTGAGGTGCAGGAAATCATTCGCTATCATCGTATACTCTCGATGCTAAACGCATTGCATACTACCTTGATATTATCGGCACACACATCTTTCTTTCCTTGTCGTTGCATCGGCTATCTTGCGTCCTCCTCGCCCTTTTAATTGGCGAATAATTGAAATTTGTACCCAAGCTATCGCAATCTCTTGATATTGTCACGTAATACAAGAGGTGGAACACACACAAGGATTTATTGAGGGCGCGCTTGTGCCCAGAAAAGTAGCTATGTCACAAAGAAGAGTCTGCTAAAAGCGTTCCGCATACGTGTCCTTTTCAGAACAACTACTCCGTCAGTCTTCCCGGCTCGTGGTTGTACACCAGAGGCATGCGCTGCTCTGCCCTAGATGCGTGAGCAGGCGCGAAGCACAGTAGATGCCCACATAGCGTCTCGTTGGTCGGGAGGCACTGCAGACGCCCACATAGCGTGTCGTTGGTTGCGAGGCACTGTAGACGCTCACATAGCGTCTCGTTGGTCCTCTTTGTAAAATAATTATTAGGAGCAATCTCTGTGGCAATACTCCCCCTCTGAAATGCGCATCGTTTCGATGCGTGAATTCGGAAGGTTAATAGTCGAGGGGGTAATTGTTTCATTCTCTTTCGTAGTATGGCTTCATGCGGACAGCGTGGACGACCTCCGCATGGTTTTGCCGTTTTGAGCGCTCTTGTCCGCCAGGAATTACTTCATAAGTTAGGTCACTTAGCCGGCGGAGTACCTTGTTTTGACCAAAGTACCGTCGAAAGAGTTTTTCTGACAGGCCGCGGCGTCTAATTGGTGTCCCGTTCCATACTTGATCACCTGGCTGGTACTTGACTTCCCTGCGGCGCAGGTTGTAGTAGTCCGCATTCTTGAACTGTTGTTGACGTATTCGGTGCCTTGCAAACTGGCGTGCTTCTGCAGTTTTCTGCGGAAATTCATCAATGCCAGATGGCTCGTAGTTTTCATTGTCGACTGGGAGCATATAAGACAAAATAATGCAATATAAAAGAATTCTTGGCTAAGAAAATATGAAGCGAAGAGAAAGCTTTGTGAATGCTGCACCTTCTCTTTGAAAAAGTTCGGAACGAAGCGACGATAGTGTGTACAAAGGCCCAAAAAACGGCACATGCACATCGCGTTTGTTCGTTGTAGTTGGGAAGGCAGTGACAGCCAATGTTTTTGCGAGGTCTCGGTGAATAGGTGACCAGTAAACGAGCGAGCAATTGTGGAATACATCGTCTGCTACCGGCTTCCTGTTCAAGAAGAGTAGACGACGGCAAACCGCTTCGCCGCAAGCCTCAGATTATGTGGGATTCGCGCGTTTGGTCACGCGTTTGTCTTCATCCTGATAAACCATGGTCGGTTGTTCAGCCCTTGGCTGCTCCAACTCGAGCATGCAAGGCAAACGCAAATATCAATTCTCATGCAATGAAGACGAAAACGAGGTGGGCCGCGGCTGTGAAGTTGGCCACAGTGACAGGTAGCCTTTGACTACGGAACATTGGAGCCAGAGTGTGCGAAAACCATTTTATCACAGGTACGTGTGTATTCCATACTTAAACTAGCTTACGCATGAATTTTGCTGGGAATATTTTATTGAGAAACAAATTGTCG